ACATCGTGCTCATCATCTACTAAATTGTACAAATAGGGTCAATATGGACAAATTTTAAAACCTCATTTTTTTTTTCGGGGCCCGCTCCACTTGGAATGCCCCATAACTGTTATATAGGTTGCCCTGGAGACATGATATATTCTTCCAACAAGTGCTCACTCCTTCTTATGAGACTACTTAGCTCTGGCTGATGCACACATCGTGAACTTATTTTTCAGTTGTACATGCTGCCTAGCTGCTTCAGATGTGGGATATACTGGAGGTCTAAGCTGTAAGTTGTATACTAACATATAGCTAGAAGGAAACGTCAATGCCTAGGTGCATAGCTGCATAATAATATGTGTTGATGATATTCCATTGGATTCTTGTCTCATCTCAAATACACTTATTTGAGATTCTTAGCAAGAAATTAGTTGCTTTGCGCATCCACTTTTTCTTATCTATTCTATAAATTGCATATGCAAACTTGCGGAATTTGAAAGATGAGAGATAAGAAGTAACTATATGAACTATACACTGTCGAATTACAAGTCATATACATGCTATCAGTAATTACAAACAACGCGGGCGCGGTGGTGATTTTCGTAATTCTCCTCAAAGTTTTTCAAAACACAAAAAACGAGCGAATAGAAATTTATAAATTTGAACACAACCTGTCTTCAGAGAGGACAACAGGTATAAATAACCCGTCGGGCACAGCTAATAGATATACTAAATTGGCAGCATATTCAGTAATGACTTTCTCACACAGCAAATATCACTGATTTTAATCACATGCAGACCAATACACATAATCATCCAGATGCGATCTTGCTATCCAAATAACTTTCTTCTCGGATATGAAAACTACAGACTACTCGGCTTCACAAAACATATGCAACCAACAATGCATGTAGTTGTGTCATTCCTTCATAGGTGGACGCTCACAACGATCCTAGTGAGCAAACGTGAAACGACTGTTTGCACCCTAAAAACTACCTAGTCTGCAAGATGACATTTTATAGGTTTTCTGACGTTTTATAGTTTTGTTACACAATACCGGTGCGGGTCTATCTTACCTTGCGACCTAGTCTTGCTGTGTGTGGTACAAACAAAAAGAAAGTCAAATTGTCTTCGCCTTACAATAAAAAGGAGGTTGAAAATCCAAGAATCTCTTATTACAGTACAAAGGCCGTTTGTGGTAGTACCTCAAAAGTTGCAAATAAACTTATCTTTCAGATAAGCAGTGAGTGCTTTAGTCATTTTTATCACTGTTTTGCTGTTTCGTATGACGTCAAATGTACTTGCTTATAGAAAGAAAACTGCCATCGGTTAGAATACCTTGCTCATATAAAATAGAAACAAAACCATTCCAGGCCTGAATTAAACCAGAGACGTAGAAGTTGAGAGTGAAAAAAGTGCAGTTTCAAATGGAGGTCTTAATTTCATATGGATCGTCTGTCTTGTTCTGTCGAACAAGTTTTTCTATATGATGATAGAGAAATGTAGAAATCTTTAAGACCTCGTATCTGGACATATGACTAATTCAAGACCTATTTATGAACTTTTGAATCACTTGCATTACGAAAGCACTGCGGCTATTTTCCTCTAGGAACCAAATTCGTAGAAAAGTCTTTTATATAAGGATACATCATAAAATGCTTTAGAGGTAACTTTCCATAAAGTTAGGTTAACATTCTACGAAGTCTCCTTCAGATATTGATAATAGCAATTACTGTAATTTAAACAGAGTTTTGTAGCTACTAGCCCAGACCCTTAGAAGTTTATAGGCTCAAGTTACTCTTAATATTCCCTAAGCTGAAAACTTGCGATATCCAGTAGCAGCGTTTAAAGTTTGCTTTAAAGTATCGTCAGCTTGAGGATATCCGTTTATCTATTCGGGGATAGTTTGCAGGCTCCGTTTCTTTGCACTTTGCAGACATAGTTCATATCGCTATTTGATTTAATGAATTACAAACAACATTATAGTGATTTATACTTGAAGATTCATATTTAACATAGCCGCGTTTCAAAAACCTAATTTAATAAAGACTGAAAAAAGTTTTTCTTAAAATCAAATAACAGTGAGGGCATTGTGCTTTATAGGTTTTCGTCACAAAGGCTTTTCGTTGTACAAAGTGTGGCTGATCAGATGCCGAGAGCTTTGAGGAATCGAATCATTTCTCAAAAAAAAATTATCACTTCGCTATTGGTGCCTTGCATAACAGCCCGACGTTATGTTCAGGAAGTAGTGGATCCTTATCTTATTCCATACCTAAACAACATCCAAATCCCGATTTTTCAGCAAGACAATGCCAGACCGCATATTTCCAGGACATCGTTAGTCTTCATCGATCAACATCGCATCAATCGTTTACCTTGGACGCCCCGATCGCCTGACCTATCTCGAATTGAACATATCTGGGGCATGATAGGTCGCAGGCTGTTCAATTTCCAACACCCTCCACAGACTTCAGCAGACCTTACTCACGAAGTTGCAGTAGCCTGGAATGAGATACCTCAACAGGATATCGACCACCTCATCAGAACGATGCCCAGGTGTGCCAATGAGTCAGTCAGTTGACGAATCAAGCCGAAATCTTAATCATTTTACTAGTAAGAGACACTGAACATATCCATATAAAATCCTCAAAACATGATATTTCCTCGCCGGTGGCGTAGGAAGTAAAATGTGATCATTCACATAATTTACAAATTGCGTAATTTCCTCATTTCCCCCACTACAAGTGTTGCTCCGGCTCTGGCAACAGAGCGACACGGGCCTTTCTCACTTAAGAATTCGAAGGAACAAGTAATTCAGCACAGCAAAGTGCATGATAGCGTCAAATTTTTTCACGGTCTACCAACAACAGTAATCCGGAAAGTTCCATTGCAGCAGTTGGGAATAAAAAGCGAAACAACAGTTGACGTCAAGTTTTTGCCACGCTGGAAGAGCGATGACGATAATTCCAGATTCAGCAGAGCTTCACTAGTTTTATAGGTGTTGAGAAAGTTGGACGAGCAAGAAATGTTAGGAAAAACTTGATCGTTGATGGGATATTGCTTGTATGGGCTACACATTATTGTTGTTGTGCGTTCCAAAGTTGAGGAGTGTTCGCAATATCCGATATCGTCAAGTTTAAGGAACTTTCATCTTTAAACAGCTAGTTTTTTGCAATGACATGACAAACTTTACAAACATGTGAAAGATGCAAGTACAAGGAGCTTTTCCATTATTTGAAAATTTTCCATCGGAAAAAATACTCTTGATATTTAATTCATTTTAATGAACAGCTAAATACAAGCTTAAATCTAAAATTATAATCTTTGGGACAGACAACAAGCCTAAGAAGAATATCTTTGTCAATCAGTAATTAATGAGATGTCGGTAAAAATTGTAATGATTGTTAGAAGCTTAGGGTTATGATTGGATAATGAATTAAAATGTATAGATTAAAGTAATTTGATCATATAAGACTTAAAAGGGAATGGTAAAACGAACATAGAAAGTATCAGGAAATACCAGATTTTATGTTTGGTTGATGAAATTTGAGTGAATGAGAAACAAAAATATCTTCCAAATAAACTCAAAAGATTTGATAATGTCGATAACTTAGCTACCGGTAATCGACAATTATTAGTTATATCTAATCACTTCACGGCTCTATAAAAAGAGCTTGTCTTATACTGCTGCCAAGTCATACACTAATATTCCATTTGAGTTTCGAAATTATACTCCAAATAATTTTAAAAAGAAGCTGAATTCGTGGTTACTCAGCAGTACATAAACACTCCCTCACCCTCCCTCACATCGTGGCTGACTGTGATTTGAGATATATTAACATGTGGATTATACACGTTAGATCCAAAAAGCTTTATTACATTGAAAATTAGAAAAAAATTAAAAGGTATATTTGCTTAAAATGGGTGAATACATGATAACATAAACAATAAATAATCGAAAACAACAAATGAACAAAAGCTGTAACTAAAACAGAATTTTTATATATTTTTTTTTCATCGTAATAAAATTCATATATACACACCTCTCAGGTGGCGAAATATAGCAACGCAGCGCATGCGTTCCATCCTGGGATCGATTATTATCGATCTTCTGTGGTCTATGTCTATTCTTTAGCGTCTCGGTGGTGACTTGTTGTGTTATTTGATTGTTATTTGATGTCGTCGAGGTATTTGTGGAAAATGGAAAAGCCAAATCTAAGATTTTTTTTTGTGCAGAATTACATATTACACCGTCGTGTACACGTTAAATCTGCAATAACCCGCAAATACCTGGTTATGTTGGGTGTACCATGTACCATCACCGAAAAACTTCAAATGCAATTGTATGTATGAATACTGAAAATCTTGAACAGTTTCGGACCAGTGGTGTCAAAATGTCGTTGAGGAACTGTAAAGATGTGTATGAATATGTTGAAACACGACACCTAACAGAAATTTGACTGAAAAGGCTTTTTCATATAAGTGTGTGGAAGTGCAAGTTTGCAAATATAGGATAAACTATAAACACACGGTAGGTGATGTTAAGCTAGTATAATTACATATGCATTACAAAAGTTACAATAAACATGGAGCTGAAAAGAAAATGGAATTTACTTAGACATCAAGCATTTTTTTTAAATGTTGGCTCAATTTTATATAATTTCATAATATTTAATGAACTGATAACATTTCAATGACAAGCTATAACTTCATATATTTCAGTTTTTTGCTTTGAATACTTTGATGCTATTTGCTGCCAATAATCTGACGGAGAGATCTTGAGGCTCATTGGGTATATTTGACGGTCTGTTTGGTACTCGTACCCTATTGGCGGAAAGTAATGGTTTGTTAGATTGTGAAATCGGTCATTAGTACACTAACATACTAACAAACAGGTTAAGCTAAACGAAAGCTTTGAAAAACAAATGAGTGATGCGAGAACTACTGATGCAAGTTTCACATAAGAATATACGGTAGCAATATTGATCGCACAATTTGCCTAATAATTTCTCAAACACCTAAGCCCTGCTCCGCTGATATTCCAAATCAGGAACGTCATAAAGCTCCACGGTTCGCAGCAGACCTGTTAATTATGCAATTAAAAGTTTTTTAATAGTCTTCACTTTGATAACTATATCCCGCAAAGCCTGCTAAGTAGGCTGTATATCAGCTTTATGGCGACTCTGAAGACTAAAAGTAAAATTACGAGGGTCGTAGAAAGGCGCACCGAAATTAAAAGATTGCAACAGTGACAGAGAGAAGTTTTATTTAGCACTTAGCTGATTTGCATCCAACCTAGTTGTAAAGCCTGCATAAGTGGCGGGGAGCTGATGATTGTTAAGTAGAGCAAAGGTAATGGCATGATGCAGGCAGGCTGCAAGCAGTCTATTTAAATGTATAAAATTGGTGATAAGTTGTACAACTGACATTGGTTTAATGTCCACCTCCTGAGTTAATACCACATAGCGCGAAAAATCACAGCAAGCTGTTAAAGCCAATATTGAGCAATTCAAAATGCCACGGAACGAGTGTCAACTAAGGAGGCTTTTCTTTATACTTTTTTATGATTTAGAAAGGGGGCGTCTGACCCATAATATATTTTTTTTCTCTCAGAAGGTCGTGGATTATGTCGTAGTATTTAAGGATTCTTCGCTAGATGTAGGTGAATTAAAAAGATCGCCAATGCCTAGGACTCAAAATTTATAACAATATACTAGAATTTTCAACGTGTGGAACAGTCAATGTAACAAGTATTAGTTAAGAAGGAAGGGAAAGAGTACGTCTATGACTTACAAAAAGCTTCAGGGGGTACGGGACAGACCTAAGCTGTAATCTGTATTTTTTAGTAAGGGAAGTGGGCTTGTCGGAGTGCTATCCGACGTAGGTAATCGGCATATGGTGAATGGAGACATCATTCCTTCCGCAGGGATTCTTTTATTTAACATTTTGGCTGGAGAAAACGTAACCTTGTTTAATGGAGGAGAGTTTTCGGACGTACGAAGGCTCAATGAAGAGTCAGGATGAAAAAGGAAGAAAAGCAAAAAAAAAAAAGAAAAGGACTGATGCAAAAAGTATATGGCACCATGTTCTATGACAATGCGAGTCAAAGGCTTACCTTTGTTGAAGTGTCACTTAAAAGTCCATTTCGGCTAGACTACACCGAAAAGTTCACCCATGACCAATTTCCTGAATAAAAACACAGTGAGATTAATCGTCTTGACTTCTGGCGGGTCAATGGGGGGAGTAATGTAACAGGGGGAGGGCGTACATCACATGGACTTTAGTGGGAGAACATGAGCCATATTACATTAAGACATCCTGGCGCCGCCTTAGACATCCGCCAGGTGGTACATCCTCGTTCGTAGTTCGAGGCTCTCTACCCCCTACGGATAGTCAAGACATTTCTTTTTTCAAATCTGAATCATCACGAAGCCCTAAATACTCCAGCGAGGAAAATTACTCTAACCCAGCCTTAGAGTTCCGCCGGGTTGTGCCTCCACGTTTATCTACATTATGACTTTATTGCTTTTGCTCCAAGTTTTTACAACGAAAAGCTCCTGTGTAGGCATTCCTATCAATTCATGATGAACTGTGTATGGTGAGAGTACCCTTGTGTGGGTTTTGTCAATATTCAAAAAAATCGAAAATAAGAACCACCGAACTCAATTCTTTTCAGTTTCCAGTTTGCCTTTTTAGTGTTTGATATTCCAACCTAATACACATAATTCGGAAATACTTTTTCAAACAACACCAATTTAAAGCGAGGCTATTTCATCGAAGGCCGTCAAGAAAACAAATAGTACGAGGGCGGTTCAATAAGTATGCGTGTTTGACGACAGAGGGCGTTCTTGAGGGAAGTTAATGTTATCACTCTGTGCTGCCATCTATCAAACGACGGTACAACAAATTTCAGACTGATTGATAGGTTAGTTTGGCTTTGGCCGCCATTCGAGTAACACGTGTTTCGTGATGATCGCTAAGATGGAAAAAGAGAAGTATCGTTCGGTAATTCGCTTTTTGTTTTTGGATGGGAAAAATGCGAGGAGATAAAAGCAAAGTTGGATGCTTCGTCATGTATGACCAGAGTTAGATATTGGTTCAACGAATATAAACGTGGACGAACATCAGTTTTTGATGAGGATTTTCATCATTACACACCAGAAATTAGGCAACAATCAAAACAATAGATTTCTCCCGATGAATTTGCTTCAAAGGAGGCGAAGACGGCCCCATCGGCCGCAAAGGTCATGGCGACGATTTTTTGGGATGCCAGCCGAGTCATCCTCGTGGATTTTTTAGAAAAAGGAAGATCGATCACTCGACAGTACTATAGTGAGTTATTGGACCGCTTCGACAAAAAAATTGAAGGAGACACGGCCACATTTGACGAAAAAGAAGGTGCTGTTTCACCACGATAACGCACCAGCACATTCATCCGGAGTTGTCGCCGCCAAACTGCATGAATTGCGTTATGGAGTGCTGCCGCACCCCCCGTATTCACTCGATCTGGTCCCCCTGCAACAAAAATTTAGCCCAAACGAGGTAGTCATCGTCGAGACAGGCGTATTTTGGAGAGTTCCACAAATCCCATTTTTTTTGGGGGGGGGAAGGGCCAGAAAAATGGCGGGATTGTTGGGAATAGTGTATCTTTCTAAAAAGGGATTATGTTGAAAAATTAAAAGATTTTTTTTATAATAAATGGTATCTTCATTTCTAACACGGGTACTTATTGAACCGCCCTCGTATTTTCTATTCCATACCTACTAGATGTACCAATAGGCCCAATATGAGCGAATTTTAAACCTCACATTTTTTTCGGTGTACGCTAGACGTAGAATGGCCCTTATAAACAGTGAAATTAGACTCTGGATTTTCTAAAAGCATCAGCTAAATTCAATACTAACAACACCCTCGGAATTGGCTCACATATTATCCTGAGGGGTACCTGATTATAGCTTTAAGACAGAGAGATATCAATGGACCAATGTTACACATTTGTGTCGTTAACTAAAAGAATGATTACGTCTACAAATATTATCGAAGATCGAGATTATACGATTAGTACAGGAATTGCTAAAAATGGGACAAGTAAATTTAGGAAGGAGACAAATTGTAGAATTAGTCGCAACAAACCTTGAGACGTGGTCACACTTGGAGCAAAATTGCGGAAATATAAACATACTGAGCGACAAAAAAGGTAAACACCTACATGCTTATCCGATTTCAATAATTTTTGGCATAGAACGTAAATTACAAAAAAACGTGTCACTCATTTCCGTCAATCTATCTGTCTCTCGGTCCGTCTAACAACTTTTTTTTTGGTAACTTCGACGTCGACGTGTCCGTCCCAGAACAGTTTGGTCCAACAAGACGGGGCAACATCTCACACGCTCGCACTTCGACGGCAAAAATTCCCAGTACATCTCGTTTCACGTCGTGGCGATATTCCATGGCCTCCTCGCTCCCCGGACCTGTCAACGTGTGATTTCTTTTATGGGGCTACCTGAAATCAAAAGCTTACCAAAGTAAGCCTCGGGCCCTCGTCGATTTGAAGGAGGAAATAAGAAGAGAAGTAACACAAATTCCTGCACGGATGCTGGCGACGTAATGGGCTCATTTCGGGAGAGGCTTGATTCCTGCATTTCGGCTCAAGGGTGTCATATGGCCGACATAGTTTTTAGGACGTAAATTTTGATATACTCAAAACAATGGCATGTAAAGTCCCTCGCCATATTATTGGACTCATGCTTAAAAATGAAGTTTTCCTGGCTTATAACACGCCAGTAGACATTTACAAAGCTTATCCATGATGAAAAATCAAAATTTATTATAAATACAACAAATGTCACATAGAAAATTAGAAATTTACATGAAAATGGAATCTTTTCACATGAAAATACATTTTTTTGCAAAAATCAGTATTATGTATGACCTTTCGCAGCCAACACGGCTTCAACGCGACGTGGCATACTGCTTATACAGTTTTGAATTTTTATTTTGAGCTCTGGGTTATGTTTCTAAGTGTCAGTAAGTATATTGATCAACTCTTGCTTGGTTGTATGGGATCGTAACCTCAGATTTCAAAAATTCCCAGACGTTCTCGATGTGCTTCATGTCAGGCGAATTTCCTGTCCAGTCGAGAATATCTACTTTGTTTCAGTTAAAAATTTTGTATTTTTTTGTGCACGATGGCAAGGCGCACCATCATGCATAAAAATTGGCTTTTCTCGTTTGTTGAACCATTTTTTCACTTGAGGGAGCAGCTGGGTTTCCAAAACTTCCTGATATTTTTCGGCATTCATTGTACCATCGACAACGTATAAGGTCCCTTGTCCCTTATAACTGATAACTGACCATACCATTACCGAAGGAGGATGTTTAATGGTCGGCACAATGCATTCTGGCTTATATTTCTCGTTTGTCCTTCGCCGTACAAACTGCGATTTGTCGACCAATACTTGGAAAATCGACTCGTCCGAAAAACATACCTGAAAAACGTCATAGAAATTAGATTAAACAATATCTACAGTACAAGAACGACTTGAATATAGTTATATAGCATTTATTTACGTTCTTCCAGTTATCAGTCGTGAAATCCTTGTATTTTCGTGCCCATTAGTATCGCTTTGATATCATAGCAGGTGTAAGTCTTGCTTTGCGTGCTGGTCTACGTCCAATAAAACCCTCTTCTGCTAACCTCCGCTGCACTGTTCTTTGCGAAACTTCAATGCCGGCTTCAAGAACTTTTTTTGTAAGAATTTTTATCGGCAGTTTTCGATTTTCAACACAAATATTGCTAATTTTTCGGTCACTTCTCTCTGTCGTGATTCTCCGACAACCGCACGCACATTTACGTTTGGCTCTCAGATTTTCACCGAGGTCTATTTTTTGTTTAATTCGTTTCACAGAACAGACAGTTTTCCCATTCTGAAATTGTTTTTTATCATAATATGGCCTCAAAATGTGTAAATATATACTTTGACATGTTGTTTTGTCAACAATAAACTCACCTGATGAAATGGAAAACAGTTAACGCTATTGACACACTTTAAAACCCTTAACCGGAAAGGTGCCGTCTGTGAGACTGCGGCGTTTCTATACCTGAGCGTATCTTTTTTTATTGCACCTCTAACAGACGTAAAAACCCATCTAATCCATAAGCTATTAGTGACCATCGCCCACCCCCATTCACACGAGTCTAGCCAAAACGTGCCTTAAAATATGGACCAATTTTAGTTTGTTGCAGTCTGTCAGACGGCACGTTTCCGTTCCCGTTTGCTATTTGTGTTGCATAGGTGCGTTTGCGAGTATGGCGGGACCTTCTAAACGTGTACGATACGATGATCCGGAGTTCGAAGAAACCGTTCTAAAATGGTTTGAGGATGAAGGAAGTGACTTTAGTGATATAGACAGTGCCTCAGAAGACGAATACATGGAATCAGATCATACAAGTGATAGTGAGTTATCAGAAGACGGAGCCGAAGGAAATGAAGAGGATTTACCAGCTCAGAATTATTTCTATGGAAAAAATCGTCATAGGTGGAATATTTCGGAAGTTGTACCATCATCACGTACAAGGAAGCACAATATAGTCATTAAAGTACCAACTCTAAGAGGAAAAGCTCATGAATATGGAGAAGAAGCAGCTCCGTTGACGGTTTGGCAGCTTTTGTTCACTGACGACATGTTGGTACATATCGTTAAGTGGACCAATCACAAGCTCAAAGAAATGCGAAAGAGATACAAAAATCAAACCAGCAACCTAAACGACACTGATTTAGTCGGCACTATTGGGTCTCTTAGTATATACATCGGTGTTCAACAGCAACCACGAGAACATTGAAACACTTTTTGCCACCGATGGCTCTGGAAGAGATATATTCAGAGCTGTCATGAACATAAAACGATTTGGTATTCTCCTGTCAGCCTTAAGGTTTGATAACCCAGATGACAGGAATGAAAGAAAGAAGCTAGATCCAGTAGCACCAATATCTTTCATTTTTAATAGTTTTATAAAGAACTGTCAAGATGTGTACGGAGTTGGCCAGTCTGTCACTGTCGATGAAATGCTCGTGAGTTTCAGAGGAAGATGTCGATTTAAAATGCATATGCCTGCGAAACCTTGCAAATATGGCATAAAAATTATGGCATTGACGGATGCAAGGAATAGCTACCTCTATAACGCATATATATACTGCGGTAAAGATTCCGATAGTTTCGAACTTCCTGAGGAACACAAGCGGTATTCCAAACCCACACAATCAGTTCTACGTCTCGCGAAGCCTCTGTTTGGAACTAATCGCAACATTACAGCGGACAACTGGTTTACGTCAATAGAATTAATGGATGTCCTATTGAAGAACAAACTGACCTATGTGGGTACAATGAAGAAAAATAAAAGAGAAATTCCTCCGGCATTTTTACCCAACAAATCAAGAGAAGTCGGATCAACAATGTACGGATTTCGAGAAGATTCCACTATTGTGTCTCATGTAAGCAAAAAAAATAAAGCCACAATACTCATATCTTCTATGCACCACAGAAAATATTGTGATCCGGAAACACAGAAACCGGAAATAATAGCCTATTACAATGCTAATAAAGGTGGAGTTGATTCTCTTGATGAAAAATGTTCGAAGAGTACCTCAAGTCGCCGTTCGCGTAGGTGGCCACTGGTTATTTTCTACCGACTATTGGATATATCGGTAGTGAACTCGTATATTTTACACCAGTGCTATAAGAAAAATGAATTGCAGAAGGAAAAATCGGTATTTGCTAAGATGTTGGCCGCTAACCTGGTCCGTGAGCATATGGAAAAGCGACTAGAGAGTCCCCGTTTACCTCGGGATTTGCGACTTACGATAAATCGCATCCTTGGCAAATGTGAACATCCAGCAACAGAAGCTGAAAATTTGGTTTTGGAAAAAAGGAAAGCCTGCTTTTTATGTCACCGAACGACCCATCGGATGACCAAATTTTTGTGTGTACAATGTAGGAAGCCTGTATGTCTTCAATGCTCCAAACCCAAATGTATTAGCTGCATAAATATAGGCAATGTTTGAGACTTGCAGTGAATTTTGATTGTGTTCTTTTTGTATTTATTGACTATAATATACTTTCCTTGTTCATTACTTAACTAGAAAATAGAAAAATATTGAGACTTTTCCATAGTTTTAATTTAGTTTCTGAATGTTGCAACAACAGCGTTATTTTTGTATGGTTTTAGCATAGTTAATAAAAATGTTTCTTTTATGTTCTTGTATCATTTTGAAATGAGCATTTTACGTATTAAACACATAAAATAAACATCCAGTATCAGTTTCAGCGAAGTTATTGCTTGCTTTTCGCCTTACTCTAATTTTTTGAACATCTTGAAGTTCGCAGTCTGAGAGACGGCATGTTTCCTTTTGTGTTCCAAAAATTCACGTTTCCTGTTAAGGGTTAAATTGTTGAATTGCACTGTGAAACTGAAACTCTGTTTTTTAGGTTATATGTCTTTTTCGTGACAATCGATGTGAGCAATCGATTACCAACATGATCAGTGTTGCCAAAACGATAAAAGTGTCCGCGATGTTCAAAAACTCAAGTTCTACCAACATATCTGCAAAAAGTTCATAATAACAACAAGAAATATAAAGTAAAAGTAGATTTGCAGCATGAGTCTAATAATATGGCAAGGGACTGTATTTCTGAGTATTTTGATGTAATAAAATATTAATTCCCATACTTGCTTTGACTGTACTACTCATTTAAAAGAGATGCTTTCTTTTTGACGGATCCTGTATTTCTTATTTTCATATATTTCTAATTTAGAAGGAAGCTCTAAAAGCTCTGTATCTCTCTGATGTTCGACAAAACTTTTGTGCTGCTTGGTCAGGGTAATAGCTTTACCATAATTTGTAATAGCTTCTGTTGGTACTCGAACCTCATCGACATCAGAATCTTCGGCAAGTTCTTGTATTTTAACCGGATTCTCAATTTCTTGGTCTGAATCTGGATCTTTAGCATAAGAACCAGGTTCAAGAAATCACAAAGGTTTTCATTATCAGTCAATTTCAATAAATTCTTACTTTTGAGGATATTTGAGAATACATTAAGCGGTGAATCATCTTCTGGGTCAGGTGTATCAGCCTCAGTTAACTGGTCTTCACCTGCATATTTTCATGCTTTGCGGAAGCAATTTTGCACTTTGGCTACTAATGACGTAATTTTCTTTATTAACTCAAAAGCTTTACCAGCAGCTTCAATGTTTACTAGCAGGTGTTTGAGTATCAGACTTTTTTATTTATTATTATTTTATATTGTTTTTTGTCCGGTTAGGAGAACATTTTTTCGGGTCGGCGTCCGTTCAAGGGAAAGTCCGTCGTCCGTCCAAGAGAGAGTTAATACAATGCAAATAATATGAGAGCCGGTCGGAGTCCCCGAAGGGGAACTTCACTGTAGTCGATCTGTTTTCGGTAGATTTGTCCGAAATTCTGTTTCAGATTTCGGTAGACGTTTAACCAAGAAGCAAAGACTTGAAGATGTTTGAAGATAGAAGAGAGGGGCACCTTGCTTGAGCCCTGCTTGGTTTTTAAAATTGAATACGGAGGACTGCAGGGTTACAGCATTTGCCTTTGATCGAAAATTGTGAAATTGATCGTTTGAAGAGCGTAGGGTTCCACCAAAGGATTCTATTATTATGTTACGCTGAATTTCATGAGGAGGATAATTGGATTGTTTCTGCTTGAGATTTAATAATAGTTTGGGACTTGTGCCTCATTTTTAAATTATTAAATAATATAATCGATTGGCCCGAGTTATTGGGAAGATTAAAATAAATAATACCAGAAATTTGAGACATAACATAATGTTGTCCTGTAATAGACTCAGCACCAGGTAAATATGCCCAAACTCTTGCTCTGAATCGGCCCATCTCTTATGTAAATGATAACGCTAATTTGGATTTTTCTAGGATTTCCTATAATGTTTCTAGAACCCGTTTGTGCTGATATATACTAAGTGACATATAAATCCGAACACCCAGTTTAAATGGTTTCATTTTAATGAAATTTTGTATAAGTACTTAATGAAGCATAATAAGTAATTGATAAAAATTTCAAAATGATTGCACTGCTTTAAAGCCCTTTGACCTTTAATAATGTGTGGATGCACCCTGATGTGCTACGCATTCTCCAACGCGCCTAGGCATGCTTCTGATCAGGTGGTCAATGTCCTCCTGCGGTATCTCATTCCAGGCAACCACCAACTCCTCTCGAAGTGCTTCTAGAGTCGGAGGAGGACGTTGCAAATTGAGCAATCTCCTACCCATCATATCCCACACGTGCTCAATTGAGGATAAGTGGAGAGACCTTGGTGGCCATGGTAACAATGTGACATCATTATGTTGAAAGAAGTCTATTGTGACTCTTGCAACATGTGGTCGGGCATTATCTTGTTGGAAAGTTGGATCTGCCAGGGTGTCAAGATACGGTAAAAGATGGTGTTCTAGAACTTCGTGGATATAACGCTGCGCGTTCATGTTACCTCTGATGAAGATTAAAGGTGACCTGGAACCATAAGCTATAGCACTCCAAACCATAACTCCAACAGTGTGATGAACATGTCTTTCAACAAAAAACTGTGGATTCCTCCTTTCACCACGTCGCCTTCTAACCCTGGCACGACCATCGTGCATGCCTAAACAAAATCGAGACTCGTCACTAAAGACAATACTGTTCCATTCCTGATCCCAGAGTGACCGTTGTCTGCACCACTCAAGGCGATTACGTCAGTGTTCTCGAGTTAAAGGGAGGACCCAGTGTGGCCGGTATGAAAACAAGCCAAAACTTCTCATTCGTTGGAGTTATTGTTTGGGGTGCTATAGCTTATGGTTCCAGATCACCTTTAATCTTCATCAGAGGTAACATGAACGCGCAGCGTTATATCCACGGAGTTCTAGAACCCCATCTTTTACCCTACTAATGCCCGACCACATGTTGCAAGAGTCACAATAGACTTCTTTCAACATAATGATGTCACATTGTTACCATGGCCACCAAGATCTCCCGACTTATCCCCAATTAAGCATGTGTGGGATATGATGGGTAGGAGATTGCTCGATTTGCAACGTCCTCCTCAGACTCTAGAAGCACTTCGAGAGGAGTTGGTGGTTGCCTGGAATGAGATACCACAGGAGGAAATTGACCGCCTGATCAGAAGCATGCCTAGGCGCGTTGGAGAATGCGTAGCACATCAGGGTGCATCCACACATTATTAAAGGTCAAAGGGCTTTGAAGCAGTGCAATCATTTTGAAATTTTTGTCATTTACATATTATGCTTCATTAAGTACTTATACAAAATTTTATTAAAATAAAACCATTTAAACTGGGTGTTCGGATTTATATGTCACTTAGTATATTTTTGACTTGCGAGCTTAAATATAATTTGATTCTTAGTCGTGTATAGCCATCTTGAATTGACGTTTATCTATTGTAAAGATTTAAATTTTAAAATTCTTGATTGAGAAATGAATAAATAAATAAAATACGTAAAAAATACACTAACTATTAAAGATATTGAAAAATGTTTTGGTAGATTTCGCATTATAATAATAATAATAATAAATGGCCTTTATTTTACCTGGCGGGTTACATCAGCACAATCTGTTTTTCAGAACCAACCAGGGCTAAAAAAAAATTCAAGTACATGCAAATACAACGAAAATACATTGAAGATAACATTTAAAGCAGAAAATTTTTTTTTTTTTACAGAATCGTAGCATGGTATAATGACCAAAAGACCAAAAGAGAAACGTGCAGCAACAGAGTACGTAGCAGAATCAAAAACCGTGATTAGAAGTAACTTTAAAAAAAGAAAATATTAGGTTTATGGCGGAAGATATAAGAATTAAAAGTAAACAGTAACAAATGTGTAAGCAAAACACAAACAAATGAAAAGTGACGAGTGAGAAAACACAAATAAACAAATATAAAAATAAATTTACATAAAAATACATGCTAGATGAAATAAAAAAAAATACATGCTACATGTCATCAAAGACAAAGAGCCTAACTTTTCTTTTAAAGCTGGACACAGATAAAGTTTTCAAAGCTTGAGGTACTTTATTGTAGAAATCGGGCGCCACATATGAAAAGCTCTTTCTGAATTGGGTTGTTCGGTGCCGAGGCAAGTCAATAGTATATCCTACAAAACGCAGGTTCGCTGAGTTATGATCACATCTCATGGTAAGCTTGTTCTTCAAATAAAGAGGCATTTTATTTATCATAATACTGTGGACCAATGATAATAGATGCAGTATCCACCTTTGTCGCATAGTAAGCCATTGAATATTTTTAATTATTTATTATAATATATATAATATTATTATATTTAATGATCAGATACCCTCTCCCGCCTTTGAATACCTATTATAGTAGGTCTAACAGCGGGCCGTCGGCGATCTAGCTCTCTTCGACCCCTACACCAACGGGTTTTGCTCCTCAGAGCTCTCTTCCATAATGCCGCCGCGCGATGTGCCTGTCAGACAGACCCGCCTGACTTTGGCCTCCCATCCTGAGCGTGTCGAACTTCGTACATGCAGAACTCGCCGATACGACTGCTCCTTTGTCCCGAGGGTGTCGAGATTGTGGAACAATCTACAAGAGGAGGTTTTTCCTAGTTCTACTAACCTTAGAAAATTCAAAAATTGAATTAGCAAAATTTCTTTGGGATCATCATAGCAGCCGGTATAAAAAAAGGTAGTTCGGTGGATTAGGACTAAAATCGATCTACTGAAAAATCGGTAGACCCGGTAACACTGACCAGGCTGATGAGTGAAGTATGGGCAGAGCAGTAACGTTGCCAGATGGATACTACTATCGGCAGAGGAGCGAAAAGATGTCTATGGACTCATTATATCGACCTGCTCAACCGACTAGCTAACTTTTTTCTCAGAGCGTCTAACTTGTGTCAAACATAATCCTTAATACGAAATGAATTTTTAGGAAGGAGCCTCCAAGCACCCTCTATTGAATTGGGGAAGTGTGTTACACGCTGCATCACCGCAACCATGTAAGTCCACCTGCGGCCTAATAAACAAAAGCATGTATGGGTTAAAGGTATGCATTTATCCCACCTCGCTTTGTACACAGCTATTCAGTTTTTACCTTTTTGTCTTCAAAGATAAAGCGATTTCAAACAATACTATTTGCATGTGATCTTTTTATGTGACCACGTTAAATCGCCTCTGTCCATAATTCTACATTGAGACTAAGCGCGCGGTTTGTAATAACATATCGTAAATGGCTAGGCGAGCAACCAGCAAATAATAGGGTCATAAATATGCATGAACTGCCCTTCTATGTGAAGGCTATTAATTTTAATGAAATTTACTGAACCGTTTAACGTTTTTACTTCTCACGCCTATTGGCCAGAAAGTATCGTAGTCGTGGAAAATTTCGAAAGTAAGACATTTTTCGGAATGTACAAATATGTACAAATATCGTAATACAGATAGGGAAGCAAAAAAGACAAACCTCACAGCAACATATCCAACTGTTCTGCAACGTCTTTAGCTCTATCTCAAGAGTAAAATCGTGGAGAAGACTTCAAGATGTTTG